CTTTTTATTTCACGCAAGATATCTCCGTGAACGGGGCTTTCTACGTCTCAACGTATAATATACTTCGCAATGTTTGCCTCCTTGATACTCTAAAACGAAGATTTTGGCAACTCATCTTTATTCTCCTATTTCGAAATTAACTCTTTCTGCTGCCACAGAATAATGCACATAAAGATTTATGATCGGATGACCGTAATTGTTGTTGATGTACCAACGAAATAATTATAGAATCGACGCAACTAAAATCGTTAATCGGAAAAATTGTTAAGTCCCGTTATGAATGGCTAGGTTCGCCACTCTTGTAGTTTCTGAAACAAATCCTGCTGGCTTTACCATATCAATCCCTTCACTTTGTGAAAACATTGCATCTAACCCTGGGACATGTGCATCAGTGAAAATAAGTTGATTTATTTATAGTTGGTGAGATGGTTTTAACGGCATATCAACCACTATGGGAATTTTAGTGCTGAAATCTAAATATTTTGAACACAATTTTATGCCTTCAACTACAGATAAAATGTACTTTTGGTCATTTTTCTTTAAATATATGTTTGTTGGTAATTTTACTATAAATATGGATTTTTGGTTGGTTGATTTTGTTTGGCAGGATATCAACCTCTATGGGTTATTTAATGCCGAAGTCTAAATATTTTGAACACAATTTTATGCCTTCAACTACAGATAAAATGTACTTTTGGTCATTTTTCTTTAAATATATGTTTGTTGGTAATTTTACTATAAATATGGATTTTTGGTTGGTTGATTTTGTTTGGCAGGATATCAACCTCTATGGGTTATTTAATGCCGAAATCTAAATATTTTGTACATAACTTTATACTTTCAGGGTAAAGGTATGTTTTTATTTTATATATATTTTGTAGATCATAAAATTTATTGTTGCTCATTATTCATTTATTTGTGTGTTCACTATTTTCCCATAGCTGGGACCCTAATAGGTGCTACAACCTTGGGTCAGGGTGGACCTGGAACAACAATAATTAAGAGGTGGTTCTACGCTCCTCAAAACCTCGAATATCCTGATCAAAGGCCTTGCTGCCGGATTTAGTTTGATTTATTTATGTCAAAATGGCAAAATCGAGCGTTTTTGTAATGTATTGATCAAATTCTCAAGGTATTTCTGATGTTTGGATGCCTATTTAAAATGCCAGCCGTTGTTCGTGAGTTGATATATCATTGCTGACTTCTTTTGGTAATTACCGTATTTTCCGGCTTACAAAACGCACTTTTTTCTTAAAAAATATCCTGAAAAATACATGTGCGTCTTCCAAAACGAATGTAAGACAACGCCCATACTCAAGTCAGCTTGGACGTTCACCTAATTGGCTTGACTGATAGGGACGTGGATTTATATGTTGAGCCATTACACTATAATGTTAGCTAGCTATCTAATTCAGCCTTTTATATGATGTAACCTTAGTACTTAGCTGTTACAAGTATTTCTAAGACTATAAACCTTCCTGGAGCTGAGCCACAAGCTTAAACATGCTCTGTTTACTAACTAGTATGTCATTGCCATACAAACAAAATTGTACGAGTGATTAGTGTAAGCAATACATGACGCCAGTATGTGAGAGACGCGTGGTGAATATGTTGTTGTATGAGAATGACTTTTTTTTCTTAGAAATTTCTTTCCAATATTAGGTTGTGTCTTCCATGCCTCAGAATCTTGTAAGCCGGAAAATACGTTAGATATGAAGTTTGAACTTGAATGAATCCGACACATGAAACTTTTCAAGACTTCTTTACTCCTTTGTAATGTAATGTCGTCCAATGCCACTGTCTTTTCAGGATCTAGTTGAACTGTATCTTCACTATATAACATTCACCAAAACACCATCTCTTGCCGGGTTAAATTTTAGTCCAGCCTCTGAAATTAGAGTCATGACCTCTTAGATAAACCCATTATGCACTTCAATTGTCTTGATCACTGTCATAAGTTTTTCATGTATCATGAGCAAACACAGGTTGAAGAGTAGCGTTCAACTCGCCTTGGATGGATTTCTATGTGCCGTGTCCCTTCTGGACGTTTAGAAACTTGATAACGGTATAATATTTTAAGAACGTGTTAAGTAGTATTTCAGTTCAACATACAATAAGGTTTTAAATGGAGCTAAAATTTAAGAAGGTTTTAACACGGTCCAACATTTAAGAAGGTTTAAACTGGAACCAATATTTAAGAAGGTTTAAACTGGATCCAACATTTAAGAAGGTTTAAACTGGAACCAACATTTAAGAAGGTTTAAACTGGAGCCAACATTTAAGAAGGTTTAAACTGGAACCAACATTTAAGTAGGTTTAAACTGGAGCCAACATTTAAGAAGGTTTAAACTGGAACCAACATTTCAGAAGGTTTATACTGGAGCCAACATTTAAGAAGGTTTAAACTGGAGCCAAAATTTTAGAATTTTGTAACTTTTCGTTGATGGTGCTGACTATTCATGATGATATGATTAAAAAAAATGAAGATAATTTCTGACTAAAACTCATTGAACATCATTCTAAAACACCCATGCCTTTCAGATTATGGGGAATTGAAGTGAGCCCCAATATAAGATTCTCACGTAGTGAACCCAGACGTTGTAATAAATAAAAAATAGAACGCGACTAACCTCTGATTTATACAAGTTGTATACAAAAATTCCTTGAAAACTTAATGGTGTCTGCGACCAAACCTATCTGCTGAAGAATAGTCGATGTTTTTTCCCCATCTACGGATTCTGTGATAATAACGGTGTAGATCTGGCTGGTTCTGCGAGTGTTCATTTCGTAGGTCTTGCCAAGAGTGTTCTTCAAAAAAAAAAAAAAAAGGTAGAAAAGCTCGCTAATCAGCAATTGTAAGCTGATTGACTAAACTTAAACTACCAAGGGCAGATAATTATATCCTCTTATTTCTCATAGGATTACCAAAAATACATAACCGAACATCTCGATGAAAGCCATCATATCAGGAATAAGCAGCATCCCCATATAAACTAGCCGACACACTAATCCAAATTCCCATTTAACCACACCTAACACTACTTCTTGGGTCAATTATTTTCTCACATATAAAAAAAAACTGGTAATCTTTTAAATAAATTAAAAAACGTAGTCATCAAAAATAAATATATAACTAGTTTAGATACAAAATCTTTACACACAAATGTTCCTGTAAAAAATGTCTAAAAGCACACTTAACTAAAAATAACTAATAATAAATACTCCTATACTTAGAATCATGGAAATGTGCCATTTAATTACCAATGTGTTTTTTCAACTTCGATAAAAAAATTTTTAGACAAAAATTTGGTTTACCGATGAAATTTCCTCTTAGCGGCATCCTGGCTTGTCTATTTTGGGAATTTCTGGTAAATGGTCCTTTCAAAAATGTTTTAACACAAAATTCTTCTTATTTCAGATACATAGATTATTCTCTATTAATGTATCCACAAAACATAATTTTATCCAATCTTGTCAACAAACTTAATAACGTCGAACCCACAATAGACTTTACCTTTCAATCTGAGTCTAGCCAATCTTTACTCTTCCTAAATATCATGATGCATAGAAATAATAACGAACTTCAGTTTGAGATTTACAGAAAACTACCAACAAGAATGACCACCACTGTAACAAGATCAAATCTCAAATAATTATAGAATTCTGTTTAAGAGCACCAAGAATCTGAAGCCCCCAATACTTGCCTGAAGAAGAAATATACATAGCCAACACTTTAAAAAACTCCAATATGAATATTATTTCAATAACAATGCGAAGAGAAAGACATAAAAAATATACGACCGCAAAAAAGACAACAATACTAATGACAATAAACTAGATAAAAACAGGCATATAATACTACCTACTAACTCCATAACATTGACTATCCAAAACAATTTATCCATTCTAAACAACATCATAATAATTACAACTACATTCAAAACTATCATGGATATTATCAGAACCAAAAATACCTATAACAATATTAATTCTGGAGCATTATATATAAAATAAATTGCGAGAACTGCTCCGTACAATACATTGGAGAAACTTGCCGAAAACTGTATACGAACACAAAAGGGATCTTATACACAACAATTTATTAAATGTATTAGTTATTGAAATAAATTCAACCATAACTTTGATCTTAAGAAAGCCACACTTATTACAAGAGAAAGTAACTTGCTTAGAAGGAAAAGACTCGAGAGTGCTGCTATAGACTCTTATCAAAATATTAATTTACGTCCCGGATTTTTTCCAATATCTCCATTCCTAAAAGAATTACTACTTTTCCAAACCAACATACATGACTATAAAATGTTGTAACATTAAAAGAAATCGGTTAAATTCATAACGTCATGCTATTTAAAATATATAAAACATAAATTAATCCCAAACTAAAATAAAATAATTACTAATTAGCATTAAAAAATCAAGACCATCATTTACACACTTTATTTTATTAGACATTGAATTGTGTCACTTCGCATCCTCCATAGGTTGCCTGACTTTTCTATCAAGCTCATGAATATTTATGAGCGTTCTTAAATTTAAACATTTTGAAAAACCAATAACAATTTTGCTCTTGTATATAATTACTTATTGCAAAATAAAATCCTTGCATTTTCCTTGATAAAGTCCTTCAGAGGAAGAAGCACGTTAGCTAAATTTTCCTTTTGTCTTTATTCATAATTCCTTATTTAGAGCTTTTGTTAAAAGCTTATGGATTGGTTAATTAATTCGTTTTGACGGCATATCGACCCTTTAAGGGTTATTTAAAACCAGAAAATATTACTAGGTTGTAAGAATATTTTGGAGACAATAATGATTTACAGATACAAATTCCACTAATTAACCCATAGCCGGGGGAGAAGATGCGGATTCATACCTTTCTCAATGATATTTGCGTGTAAGTGAATATAACGAACCCGACCGGAACTTGAACTTGGTTCTCCGATTTTCAGTTCCGAGCTGTTATCCATTGCACCGCACATCTAAGTTTACAGCACCTGGTATTGCCAAATGGTCACTCATCAAGGTACTGACCAGACCCAATGTTGCTTAACTTCGCTGATCGTACGAGAACTGGTATTTTAACGTGATATGGCAGTAATCCAAAAGCTTATGGAACTGCTGGAACTATTTAGAATTCGGTCAATTAATTCTTTTTCTTGGACAGAGCCCAAAGACTCAAAAAATACTATAGTTCTATTAAAAGAAACGAATTTAATTAGTGGAATACGTAAGGGTTGTAAATTAGGATATTTAATCCTTCTATATGCTGGACAATCTTTTCCCTGATGGAGAAAAGACTTGAGGCAATTTAAGTATACTGAGAATACCATGAACAAAACATGTGAGCAACAAGGAAGTTTATAAAAAATAATGGCGTGTAAACTTAGAAAGCGATAGCCGAAATTTCTAGAGCGCATAACGAGGAAAGAGTGTTTGGAGAATGTAACACTCATATGACATATTGAAGGTAAGAGGACAGAGAAAAGCAGCGAGGGACCTACGTAATCATATTTATGCTAGGATTGATCAATCCAACGCTACAGTGTTCTAAAGAGAAAGGACTGGGTTTGATTTTTTTTTTAACCATAGTTTTGATATTCATATATATAAGAAAATATTTATAAATATAAATCACAATAGGAAAACTGTAATAGTTGCCAACGCGTTTCGTCCAATGTGGACTTTCTCAAGGCAAAAAACGAAATGGACGAAAGGCGTCGGCAACTATTACATAATTAATTTACAATTATAAATAATTGTCTTTCCTCAGGTTAATTCTGAGAAATTTTCATAAGAAATTAGTTTATATAGAAATAGCATCTAATTACATGAATATCAATGTAATATTGAAATTATATGAAGCTCTAGTAAGCTCCTTACCTAGTGTGTGGAATTCCTAAATAGGAAAAACTTCAAATATTTTGGTGCATAGATCAGTTATAACAAATTTACTTGTATTATCTACATATATTCGAACTGATATCCTTATCTTCATTGCCATATTCACAACGTTTCGGCCGTTGTACGTTCCGGCCTTCTTCAGGTGATTGGAATTTCGAACCTTTTATTTTGTCCACCGGGGTAGATTGTTCTAGTTCCACGTGCCATGCCTTATCCGGATGTCTCAGTTATTTCCCTTTAACTCAACTCTCCAAGTTTTTGGTTCACCACTGCTTTGGCCTGGTATTGAACTCACAACTTTTTAGGTCTAGTCATTGGATCTAACCAACGTCTTTATCCACTGGGCAATGTGCCCTCAATGACACTTTATCCACTGGGCCATGTGTCCTCATCAGCCGTATATCCAAGCTTACAGTATCTGGTATTCCCAGTCTGTCACCCATCTAGGTACTGATCAGGTACGACATTGCTTAACTTCAGGAAATTGAACATCGAATAGATTGTCAAATCGAGACCATATATACTCGTCGTGTAACGTGCGATCTCGCGTATCGTGCGACCACTAAATTTTCACTTATAAAAATGATTTTATCATGTGTATCATACGAGTTCCTTTCTTGAGAGACCAAATTACAATAGACTAACCTCTTTTCCTCTATCTCTTTATCTCATATTCTAGTTAAGTTTAAAAAGTAAAAGAGAATGATAAAAGTATCGTTAGTAATAACGTACAGCCATAAACAACCGAACGAGAAACATCTAAACATCTTATAAACATAAACAATGGAAAAGATCCGTATTTTATAATAAGATACTAATATATGAATATTACATGCATTATTATTGGATACAGTCAAGTAAAACATCAGTTTTATCAAAATCATGTTTATTTTAAATACAGCTTTACTTTTTGAATACAGTAAATGGATATATAGTTTGGTCAACGATGTAGCTAGGGCCAGCAGGACATGTGCTAATTTTATATCTCGTGTATGAATCGACCCCCCCCCTAAAATTAACTTCAAAATTAGGTCTTCAAAAGTTATACGGTAAATGCCATACATGGCACCAAACCGGTCAGAAATATACTGCCAGGTGTATACAACCGCTTCCTTAGATTAATGGTTAAAATAACTTTGAGTGAGTGAAACCTGAGGATCTTGGCGAAGACCATCCTTTTTGGAACTTTGTGGACTGGTGCTACACAATCACAAACAAAGAACTGCACCATCAAATCACATCACTTGAGGACTTTTAACAACAACAACAGCTAAAACGAATATCACTTGTAACTTGAAGAGAAAATAATGTCATAATGAAGAGACTCTAATTCCACACGACTTCAAACAAAAGGTTAGGAAAGAAACTTCCGTCAATACTGGAAAGAAGCTACTGAATTTGAGAAACCTATTTTCTTGAAAAAATTGTTTTTATGAAAGATTTTATATATTTCAACCGACAGCAATGCAAATTGTTCGGGCTATGAATGTCAAATGTTTCCTTGTAAGGAAACGGCTAATATTACAGTTAACGTTTTGTTGTTTCATTCTGTGCCGACTAATCAAATGAAATCTACTGAGGACGAATTCTCGGCTCTACGAAAGCCTCGCCTCCTGCTTGTCCTCATTACTGTTACTGATGATGATGATGATGATGATGATGATGATGATACAAGATATGGTGTAACGAAATCTCTGGCTGACGAAGGACTGGAGCCTCATTGAGGTGATAGAAGGACTCGTTGCAAAGGACACAGATCTCTTACGGATTCAGTTACCATTAGTGGGACACTGAGGCAACTGACAGGATGAGGCATCAAGTCAACTCGAGAAGACCGGAACTTCCACCGATTGCCAGACCTTCTTCTGCATCCGAAGTGAAAAAAAAAACATGCCCCACCTGCATCGGTCACGCTAATCACTTGAGAGTTTGCAACAGACGCGGAAAATCCTTCCGAGTCTTCGTTCAGTAAGCCATGACAGTGTATAAATGAGGCGCTGTTTAAGTGGATAAATAATGGTCAATCGATGAGGAGAGGATTAAGAACGAGATTGACAAAGGGAAAGAGCTGAGAAAGTTTTGTAAATTTTTGCTAATTTTAGAGTCGACCAAAAGCTTTCGGAATTTCTTTCCTCTCTTTTAAGATGTTTCTTTTTAGAACCGCACTCACTTGTTCTCGACAACAATTTTCACGGATTATTCTGAAAAAAAAAAATTCTTTAAAAAGTCGGTCATTCACCAAGAAAGGTGGATGCGTTCATTCAATGTGTACAGTCAACAATTCCTCTTTCGAAGCTGCATTATGATAGATTAATAAATAAATCGTTCGCTTAGGAGGAGGAGGAGGAGGAGGGGGGATGAGGAGAGTAGATCGTCATCTTCTCTGATCCCTTAAAATGAGGAAATATTTGAAGGTTTTATTATTCCTGTTAGTGTTAACTCTCCGAACTTTGTCTTCCTTTATTCCCCCTCTCTCTCTCTCTCTCTCTCTAAAAGCTCGAATCTCGTGCATGAGATGAAGCCCGCACGTGCGCCAACACGAACAGACACACAGACACAGTTTCGAAGTATGCGCAAAATATTTAACAGAACTTAATCGTAGACGCGGATAAACACACACACACACACACACACACACACACACACACACACACACACACACACACACACACACACACACACATTTGCAATTAAAACGAATGTCGATATTATTCGTTATTCGTTCTTTTTTTCCATCGGCTTTAGTAGGAAGGCATTTTTAACTGGAAGGGAAATCAACACATTTTGTCTGCTTCTTTCTTGAAACCACGTGTATTCGTAAAGTATATGAAGGTTCTTGGTAAGTGAAAACTAATGATAGGATGAAGTCACAAGTGTCCGAATGATATCAGATAGAGCAATAAAAATACGGAAGAATATGCATTTATGTTTCATAGACACATTTAACAGGTTACAGCACAAGGATCTATTTGAACTGCGAGGGAAGCTTGATTTATTTGGGTTATTTGGATATTAGAATAATCCAGACCAGAACCTATACTGCATACGGATAGTAAATGAATTGAGTAGCTACACAAAAATAGAAAGGGGTGTAAGACAAGGTTGTGTCTTCTCTACAGCCAGGCTAGGCCAAAGAAGATGGAAATCTTACCAGAATTTAATATTGTTGGCCGCAATCTTCCCTGTACGCAAGTCGCTAGTGGCCTACTGGCGGGCCGCCGATGGCAACACTAGCGCTCCTCTGGTGGCAGTATTCAAGTATTTTTCAAACAAATCAGCTTATTCAAATTTCTTCGCTTGGTTTGCGAAATTGAACGAAACGTAGTGTTTGTAAATCTTGACAAAACAATGTTAACGATAACTTCAACAATGCTAAATATTGTGAAGATTTCAACATGCGTCAGCGTGTTTTGCTAAAAATTCTAGTTAATAAAATTTCCCAACTTATCTCATCATCTTCGCATATGGTAGATGAAAACTGAAAGGATGAAGTCACGAGTGTCCGAATGATATCAGATAGAGCAATACAAATACGGAAGAATGTGCATTTATGCTTAATAGACACATTTAACAGGGTACAACACAAGGATCTATTTGAACTGCTAGGGAAGCTTGATTTATTTGGGATATTTGGATATTAGAATTAACCAGAACCTATACTGGGAGCAAACCGCCTGCATACGGATAGTAAATGAATTGAGTAGCTACACAAAAATAGAAAGGGGTGTAAGACAAGGTTGTGTCTTCTCGCCGGATTTGTTCAACCTCTACAGCCAGGCTAGGCTAAAGGAGCTGGAAATCTTACCAGAATTTAATATTGTTGGCCACAATCTTCCCTGCACAAAAGTCGCTAGTGACCCGCTAGTAACACCAGCGCTTCTTTGGTGACAGCCACCGGTGGGCCTCTAGCAGTCTGCCAGTGGTAACATTGCCGAGACAAACAGATTGGCAAATTGGTGGCTTACGTGTAGGGTTAGCAACATAAGATGACACTACGTTAATGGCAGACACAGAATGAAAACTGCAGGACCTCCTAGATTAGGTAGAAAAGGAAGGAAAGAAGAAAGGACTAATCGTCAAATGTAAGAAAGAATGTATGATTGCCAGTGAGAGAACAGATACAAGATGTGAAATTATGATTTGAAGATATCAAAATCAAACAAGAACAGAAGCTTAAATATCAGGGGAAACG